TGGATGTCGACGGTGCTCGCCTTCGTTCTGTCTGTCAATATGCCCGACGTGAACGTGACCGCAGCCGCGATCATCGGTAGGACCGTGCTCACCAGTATGCGAAGATATCTGAGGGAGAAATAACACACGATAAGTATCTATTTTTTTTTTATCTTATCAACATTTTTTAATCCATTGAAATAAAACTTACGTTTTTTGTAGCTGTCGTGCGTGAGTTATTCGGAAAAGAGTCCATTCGGGAGGCTCGTTCTTCCACGCTCCGTGTAACTTGTTCACGATTCTGGGTAATGCATGGTGGAGGAAAACCATAACGTTCAACGTGACCGAAACTGCTAGGAGGACTTCGACCGCGTTCATCTCTCGTTGCTCTGCCAGCACGCTTTCGGTAACTCCGTACTTTCGGGGGAAAGGAAATGTATCGATGACGTGTTCGTGGATGACGTTTTCCTTGCACTTCCTGCTTCCTGTAATTCGATGCCGTACGTGCAAGCCAATCACCGTTTTCCAATTCCGATGACGTAAGCGCTGAAAATAGATGACGACTTCGTGTTTTTGTTTTCAAACGTGATAAAAGTCGCATAACAGTTTGATATTCTCGCATTTGCTCATTAACAGTTCGCATTTGCTTTTGCGGAACCATTAACAGTTAAAATCGTTACATATTCACATTCATTATGAAGTTGTCGATCAAGGATTTGGTACCTGGTATCGATTACGTGAATCTTCGAATTGAAGCGGTCAGCGATAAATGCGACGAGTTCAGGAAACAAGTATCGGACCACCGCATCGACGAAATTAAGCCTTCAGTGAAGTGCCTGTTAACCGAATTTGAAGAACTCCACAGGCAAATGCTGACACTGAAAAAGATTTTTTTGCAACAAAACGGACACGGAAGAAGAGCGTGCGAAAAGAATAAGGGAGTACAAAATTGCATTCGAAATTGCGAGACAAGCGTCGGGAAAATCCTCCAAGAAGAAAGAACGTTAACCAGAAAGATGAACGACATACTCGGTATACCCGAGAAGAAATGGTCGGAAGAAGAAACATGCGCTATATGTTACGATGCTCCAGTAGCCGTCGTTACGAAACCTTGCGGGCACATGATCTTGTGCGCTATGTGCGCATGTCGTACGGCGACGTGTTCCATGTGCAGAACTCCGATCGTCGAACGTCTCAGGAAGGATAAACTCGACGAAGGAACTGCAATTTTCAAGTGTTAATAAAGAAAATAAAAACAAAAGAATATTTGTCTTTTTGCATGCATGTAGATTCTATACGATGATTTTTACTAGTTATAAAAAAGGCAACGAGAACAGTGTAACTTTATTTTACATTTTTTTAAATTAACACTTATGAAAATCCATGATTGTAATCTGGTGCATAAGAAAGAAATATGTCTGCTTTGCAAAATCCTAGTAGTAAAAATAAAATGAAACAAACAAACATATAATGTGTCAATTCTTTGTTTATTGTTGAATCAAATTACATTTTCGGTGAGATTACGTAACTCTGCCACAAGTGAAAATAGACCGACAATGGCCCTAGTTAGCTCGTATATTCCGTCTTCCAGTGGGCATGAACCCAGATGCGAAAACATTGCATCCTGTTCCATTTTCAATTTTTCTGCTGTCTCAACGAAATGTTGTACGTCCACCATACGTAATTCCGATTCCAAAACGTCGACGCCAGATTGCGAATGCTTTTCCCAATTTTGTAATTTCGAGAAATGGCTTTCGAGTAGCATGACTTGGGCATTCAGCTCGTACTTTATCATCTGCAGTCGGAAAAACTTGCAATCACTCCAGAACAGACCCTGAATTCCGGCTAAAATTAATTTAACGTTTGCGAGACGAGAGTGAAACTGCTTGCAAGTGGCAAGATCAATCACAGCTTCTTTACGGCACGGCTCGGTCTGCGCGGGTGTACTGGGTGTGCGGGTGTACGTCTGCAGTT